AAGGTATTTGCATAATATATAGTTCAAATACTGCAACGAATAGAGAGCCTTCAAGAGATAGAATATACAAGGGGTTGTAGATATTGTAGTAATTAAATGTAAGAAATAGTAAATGAAAGTAATTACAAGCTAGCTCATTAGCCTTGTTATTAAGTATATTATTCTGGTGTGTTTTTATTTTATGAAAGGTGATATTTAAGTTATAGGATTTGGTAAAGTTAAGAAGTATATTTCATATAGACCAGTATAGTATATTGGAAGAATTAAAGTTGGCAGGTTGCTAGGTTAGGCTATTGTACTTAAATATAACTGATTGAGAGTCTGTAAAGATTTAGATATTGCAGTTTCTAGAAACAATGCATATTATAAACAGGATTGTAAGCAATTTAGCTTTAAAAGAGCATGGCCATAAGGAGATTTGTGTATAGAATATGCAAAAGATATTGTTGTTATCTACTTGTAGCCAACCAATTCCTATAGAGCATTAGAGATTTTTAAAGTTAACAACAGATCCATTTATATAAAATGTAAGATTAGTAGAATAGTAGTTGAGATTTGCAAGCTGTTAAAGAGTATTAGATACAGAGTTAGTTAAGAATATAGAAAAAATTTGTAAGATTTTTATAGTGTTCGAAAACATATTAAAAATTCTGGTTAATCTAAATGTGATCTAAATCTGTAATTTGGATTGAATCTGACAGTTGATCCACGGTTTGTCACAATATTTGTCATAATTTATGTGATAAATTCGAATTTGTCATGTAATAAATTCGAATATATTACATATATTGTGACATAAAGTATGATAAGTTTGAATTTATTATGTAACAAATTTGAATTTATTACATGTTGTGATTATATAAAGACGATCTAAAATTAGGCCCAATCCTGCTCAATCCAGGCCCAATTCATAATTCAGAGTCCAAAACTAATCCAATGGTTTGGATCTGCACAAATCCGAATCCGATCTGTGTTGACTTTTTTGAACACTAGGTTTGTATAAGGAGGTTTGGAGGTGTAGGAATTGAAAAAGAATCTTGAAGTTGAATTGAATATATAAGGGCAAAAGAGCTTGCATTGAAATTAACTGACTTGTCAGAATAAAGTCTGCCAAGAAATTTAATAGCATGTCTAGTTGGGATAAGAATAGTACATTTGTTATTAATAATATTGGAATTAAAAGAATAGCTAGAATATGGTTTGGTTTTATATTAGAAATAGAGTACAATGATGAGAAGGCAATTGTAAGATAACACTGGTAGTGAGTAATTAATGTATGTTCCAAATTCATAGATTGATAGTGGGCTTTACTTACAATGATTTGGTTATTAGAAATTGTAATAAGCCAGAGTTTGGAGTGCTTTTAGAAGTGGCTAGTATTATAGCTATAATAATTAGTTAATAGTAATTGTAGCTAAGAAGAAATAGATCAGTTAAGAGAAAAGTTGATAATAGAGTTTTCTAAAAATTTAAACCATTGTAGAATTTTTTATCTAAGTATTTTATTGAGTCTTGAAGAGATATGCTTCTAGTTAAGAAGACAAGAATTATTAAAATAGTAAGTTGGTCAAGAAAAAGTATATGGTAATGCTGTAGTTGTTTTTTAAAAATAGTATAGTTGGGTGTGATGACAGAATAGATTCAAGAGTAATTGACCCCTCTTGAATTGTAAAAAGTATGGTTGTATTTGAATTAGAACTGATTGTTCAATTTATGTGTTTAAGAAGTTGTATAACTTTGAAGTTAGAAGTAAGTCTGTTAGGGCTATCAATAAGAGGATTGGGGTGAGATAATATACTGGTGGAGGACCAAAGATTATATTGAAGTTGTTGGATTCAAATACAGGTAGATGTGCCAAAAAGAGATTTATTGTTAAAACATTTAATAAAGTTAGAAATATGATGTTGAAGTTGAATATTCCGAATGTTTTTAATGTTATAAATTTGTGAATGAAGTAGAACACTAGTAGGGATAGTAAGGCAAAGTTTGGCTTTATACTTGACTAAGTTAATATGTTGTTTAAAGATTTTGTTACAAATAAATTAGCTAAAGATAATATTATAAATTTTATATTCTAAAGTAGAGATAATAATAATATTAATAATGGGTATCAGTTATTTGTTTAGTTCTAGCAATTTTAACTAATTCAGAAAAAATAAATTGGATCTGTTTAGTATGTTTATTTTTAAGTAGGGTGCAGGATGGGCTGGGCTAAGCCCAGAAACTTGTGGGCCGGACTGGGCTTTGGCCCAGTTCAGGTTTATAATTTTTGAGCCCACTATTGTTCAGACCAAATACAAATTGGGCTTGTTAAATATCAGGCTCAATAATATCTAGTAAACTTATAGTCAAAATTATAATGATAATCTAACACTAAGTAAATTAACAATCAAACCTTTTCTTTCTACTTTACAGCTATTCTCATAATTCTTGAGACACCTGTTCGAATGATTTTTTAGCTGATCCAGTTAAGTTATTAATTCAGCATGATCCGTATAATATAATAAGCTATTTTTAATCATTTTATAATTGTAATACAATAATATCAATATTTTAAATTTTCATTCGAATGCTTGTTCAAAAATATTTGATATGCTTTAGTTTGTACAAAAATTTATGAAAAAAACTGTTCATTTAACCAATAAACCTTAAGAAGGAATAAAATATAAATTAGACTTTTATAACAAATATATTATTAAACAGGTATCACTATTTAACTGGTTTAAAATGAATCTCGAGTTAGAATTCCAAGCGACCAATATATTATAATATTTGTCAAAAATGTATAAAGAATTATGATAAATAAAATCCAAGTAAAAAATTTTATATGTTTATATTTGTTTATATATTTTTTGTCTTTGAATTAGAAAACAGCTAAAATTTTAGTAATGCAAAAATTTTGTATAAATGTATAGGCCAGGTCAGGCTGGGTATAGCTTTAAATAAGGCCTGGCCTGGTTTACTTCACGGGCTTTTTTTTCATAGGCTGGGCTCAGGCTTACAAATAATTTTTGGGCTAAGTTTCAGGTCTAAGCAGGCCCAGCCCGTTTCACACCCTATTGTTAAGAGTAAACTAGTAGCCAAAGAACTTAAAAGGCTAATTAGTTAGCTATAGAGAAAGTATTTCATTATTGAAGGAGATTGAGTGATAAGTGTTTGGTTTAGAGTTAGATATTAATACATATGGGCCGATTTTGACTGATCCGGGTGATATAAGATTGTGATATCTCATACAGTTACACTAATCTGATAATCAATAACCGATAATAATGCCTTCGTCAAATGCTTTTTTTTGCCACTTATACTCTAAAACATATTCAACAAGAAGGTCTTTGTTGTCTCACGAAGCAAATAAGCGCTCACATAACTAGGTCATACCTTATAGTTCTGGGTTTGAACTACCTTCAAGTTGGTGCTTATACCAATTCTGGTCTGTTTTTCTTGCAAATGTGAAGTCTCGTCTTCATACTTACCGAACAGCTCAGACTTCAAACAGTTTACTATACACTGCCCTAAGACCCTTTTTTTTTATGTATTTCATCAAGAACCAGGCTTTGAATTCCAGCTGGCTAGGCAAAAATACAAGTGTATAAAGGAAGAGATGGGTACTAAAGAATCAGTTATATTTTTTCACATTCTCATTGGGGCAAAAAAAAAACAAAAACAGGAAGTGAAGTTAGAGTAAAGACCGAAGTTGAATTTGGATTTTTTTGAAAGGAATAAATGACTAATGAAGATTATAACAGAGAGATTTATACTTGGTCTTTTGGACTTTTAAAGTTTAAATTTGAGATATGTAAATGAAACATAGTCATAGTTTAAATTTATTTTTTTTTAAAATTTACAATTTCTTTAAAATATAATATAGATATTTTATTAATATTATAATAAAGTTGCTGATTTTTATATAAATATATTTCATATACTACAGGCTTTAAAGAACTGCTACCACCCATTGTAGTTCCTCCATAAAATAGTTAGACATGATTATGATTTTTTTTTTCAACACCTGAACATGAAAACTATTGTAAATATAAAATTTTCATCTTAAAAAATTTCATAAATTTTGGAATATAGCATGCAAACACATGCATATAAGGAGTAACATTATCACGTTGATATAATTTTTTTTGTAAAATATTTCCTTCTTTAGTTTCAATTGTTGACTGACAAAAATTTCTAACCCATTGTCGTGCTAATATCTCGAAATTTGTAATATTATCATTTGTTAGATCAGCTTTACGTAATGTTTTATACAAAAAATAAAAATCCTACCAAAGTTTTTGAATTTCTTTTCCTCTTTGACCCAAAATAAATAAATCAATTGGAAATTTTTCTATAAGAATCAACTTATTTGGCCTTATTAATAAAGTCCAATGCCATCTTCCTTTTGAAGTTTCAGGTTTTTTAAATTTAAATATGCTAATGCCTAGCAAATGAATTATTGATTCAATCTGTTTTCAAATTGTTATATCAGTACTATTTTTTGATTGTTTATTAAATATAGATTTAGTTGACAATTCTAAAAAAAAACATTTGAATAAAACATTAGTTATTTGAAGCATAATGTGTAACTTATCCGGTATACAATGTTGATTTTCTAAAAAGGGTAAAAGATTTGAATTTTTGCGACCTAGTGTATTGTACAAATTCTTGTAACCTAAATTCATATTCCACTAATCAGTGTTTTTACAATTACAGTATAAACAAAAATGAATTGCTATTGGTCCTTTAATACCAAGTACTAAAGACATAAATTTCTAATCGGAGCCAAACCAAAATTCAATTGGCCAATGATTATTTTTTGAATCAATAATCTCTTCTGCTTTTAATAATAATAATTTATCAATTAAAAACCTAAAAGCTTGTTGAAGTAATTTATATTGTTCTGTACTAGTATAAAGTAAAATGCAATGCTAGTTTGATAGACTTAAAACTGCATCATATTCATTTAGTATACAAGCGGTAAACATTACATGATTATGATGTTTACCAACTTATCAGCTATCTCCACTTAATTTAATATGAATAATGTCTCCTATTTGTAGGACTGGTAAATTATTATATGCCAATTTAGAAACTATAATATGTAAAATATCTTTAAATGATCGATAAGCGCCATTTGGTATTATAGAGCCTACTTGAACTATATTAACAGGGATCATGCTGTTTATAATTCTTGTTATTTTTTGCTAATGTTTTGCAACTTTATATTCACATTCTATATTAGGCATAATAGCAGCAAGTTGGCGATATCCATTACATGTAATTAAAAACTTATCGCAAGCATGAACAATTGAATCTAAATATTGAAATGGTTTTGGTTTTTTTGACTCTATATTTTGTAATCTAACTAATAACCCATTTAAATTTAATTCTACATATTCTAATTTTGTGTCATGAAAATTATAAAAACTTATTGCAGATTTGATTTTATTGTGAATATCATGGGCCAATGTTTGAAGTCAAATTTTTTTTTGTGATTCAGACTTAAGTTGATGATAGAGTTTATTTTTGTTAATTCGAATTTGACTTTGACTTTGGTTCTGATTATCGATTTGTCTCCTTTTCAAACATTTAAGATCAAATCCAAAAAGTATTGTCCCAGACAATGATGATTTGTTATTATCTATTTTATAAATATATGATAGTAAGTATAATATACAGTATAATACGTGTATAATAAAACAAAAAGTTAACTTGATTACAACCTGTAGAAATAAAGATGCAACATTACTCACCGACTTATTGCTTAATACTGATCTTTTTTCTCTATTAATATCATCTCATATCACTATATATATTACTTTGTTACCCAAATCATACTAGGTTTCAGCAATAGTATCTATACCATAAATCTTTACACCAACCATATACCCATTAGGAATCAGATAATAGCTTTGTTGAGTATGTTTAACATATGATAGGTAATAGCCCAGGCATCAAACTTTGTAATTATATTCCTGCTTGCTTTTAAAACATTGTGTTATATAAATATTCAGATATTTATCTATAACTTCCAAAGAATTGGTTTGTATGATTGTTTGTCGTTGAATTTCTTTAAAAGGATAACAGGTTGAATAATTAGTTGGAGAATAATATGAACAAGAATTTTGTTGAAATTTGTTTAAGGTAGGTGGCATTATTCTAAAACTTAGAGGTTGAATTAGTAATATATTTCATTCATAAATACTGAAATTTGTAAGGAAAAAAAAAACCACAAGGAAAAAAAAAACAAAAATAAACATAATACATAAATATATACTATGTTAAAGGTTGTTCTAACTTTCATAGAGATAATAGCAAACATCAACCAACTTATTTTAAATGATATTCTAACTCATAAAAAACTCATAGTGAACTTATATTTGCAGTCTAAGATGAGCTTTTGGTTGGTGGTCTTTTTTGATGTTTTGCTTACTCAATTATCATATCGATGAATTTGATTGGTGTAATTAGTAAAGGTTTGTTGTATGAAACTGTGAAGATCATTCGCAAACATTACACAAATTAGCAATAATCGGCTCATATGATAGATTTGGTAGTATTAACTTTAATGTTAGCTATGTTGTAAAAGGATTCAGCAACTAAAAGAATATTGAATAGCTTAGTTTGACTAGATGCAATCCACAAAGTGTTATTAATATAAGCCAATACAAAGCTATTGGCTTCTAGCTTATTGGTAAAAAAATTTTTTAGATTAGTAGGATATGAGACAGAAGTTGAGTAGCCAGAAAAAGTTGAATGTATATAGATAATTAAAGAGTTATAGTAGATTCACCAAAGCAAAAGAGTGATGGTCTTCCTTTGATCAATACTATTTTGAATTTAATATGGTAATGTCAAATCAAAATTTGTTATAACTTCATTCTGGCAGTTAGTGAGTAGGTTCAAGAGAATGTTAATGATAGATTGAGGAAAAGAAAGACAATGAAGAGAATGTTTAAAAAGATCAAAATTGACAGAGTCATAAACTTTACTCATATCTTGAGATAAAAGCCCAATCTCCTTAAAATTGCAATTAGCATCTTCAATTAGGTTATTGAGAATATGAATAGAAAAAAATATACTATTGCCAAGTAAAGCTATATAGTTGAAAGATAAAAGGATAGAATGTTGAGAAAAAACTTAGTTGAGTCTGTTAGTTAGTATTTTGGTATAGATTTTTCTAATATGCTCAATTAAACTAATTGGGTGAGTAAGATTAAGATTTCTATTAAAAGTATTGTTTTTAGGTATAGGGGTAAATTCTGCCATGTTTTTATAACTTGGGTATAGAGTTTTTAAAAAAGCAGCAATTAAAAAGCACAGTAAGAGCAGTAATGCAATAGTGACTGAGATGTTTAATCATCTCATAGCTAATGCCTGTAGGTCTGTAGTCTTTCCTATTAGGGAGCTTAAAGATAGTTTGAAGAACTTTATCAATAGTAATGGGTTGTGTAAGTAGACTATACCAGTTTGAATTAATATGAGAAAGTAGTTAGTAATGTTGTTGCCAGAAATTATTAAAGAGAATTGAGTTGATGGGTTTGTATACAGTCTAATTATCAAAGTGTATTTGCACATGTTGTTTAATTATAGTTGGATCAGTTATAAGCTGGTTGGATAACTTAATATTGGTAAAGTATACAAGAGGCTGATAGCAATTAAGTATGCTATTGATAGCTTGAGTGAGCTTGAATACAAGTGTTTCGTATCTTTTTTCTGAGGCCTGATTAATTTAATGTCTAAGGCAAAGAGTGTGTTCAAGGTGATAGGTGTAGTAGACTTGTTTCTATATAGTGTAAATATATTGTAGCCATGGTTAGACAATAGTAGGATCAAGTGAGTTTAGTGATTAAAGATTGCATTTTGTATATGTATTAATGGTTATGATAAGTGAGTCAATATATAGGAGGTATAAGTTGGAGTAGTTACTGCTATTTTTGTGAAAAATTTTAATAAAGTGGCTGAGTTTTTTAAGACCAAGATAGAGTACAGTATATTTAGAGCTATATTGGTAATTGTAACTTTGTTTACGTGATATTTTGTTAGGAATAGTTTTAATTGTGGTATGTGTTATACAGTGCTGGAGCTTGTGCCAAGAAGTATCAATACTTTCAAAACTATCAAGAGTAAGAGAGATATTACTTCTTCTAATTAATTATATAGTAAGTTCAGAGAATTCAGACTATTGATCATTGGAAGTTGCTTTATAATCAAAGATTCTACGGCTAATATTAGTATAAAGACGAGAAGGTTTACTATAAGCATTAGAGAAAGTCCCTAAGGTTGAGAGAATGAGGTGATTACTAAGGGTACTAGTTTTGCTATTATCGAGATTATAATCAAGAAGAAGTTGTATATTAAAAGTATTTGTTTAAATGTAGTTAATTCTACTAGATTGTATTCTATTAGACTAGGTAAAGTGTATATGATTAAAATATGCTCCAATATAGAATATATTAAAGTGATATAAAAAGTTAATGAGTTTAAACTTAAAGAAAGAACTAAAAGTAATGTTTTGTATATTGAAATTATCCAAAATAATAGGTTGTAGATTATGCTGTTAAGCTTGTATAATCTAGTTAATAACTGTGTTTTAAGTAAAGTTATATCTAGTGATAGAGATTATCTGGAGTTTGATATTACTTTTAAAGAATAAGTCTAGTGTAATAGCTCTACCAGGATGTGTTAGACAGCTATGGACATGGGGCTTAAGATAGTTACAAACTATAATAGCTGCTCCTTCCATAGAGCTGTCAGAGTTGGCCCAGTAGTAAGTAAAGAGGTTATTATTGCAAAAAGAGAGTTTAGTTTTATTTGAGATCTTGGTTTTAGTAATAGAAATATCATAATTAATACAATAGTCTTGCCAGATTTGCCTCTTAGAGGTGATAGTAAAGTCTCTGACATTGTGAGTAGCAATGGTAAGGTGTAAATTACAAAAGCTAGATTATATAGGTTGGATAGATGAGCTACTAGAGGAACAAGTAAATCTTATAAAAGATTTGTAGTAAACAGAGTACTATTGAGGAGAAAGTGTAATGTGGCCTGGTAGGATAGTATTAGTAATATTAAGATAAATATAAGTTTCAAGAGTTCTAATATTGACAGAAATTTTGTATAGTTAAAAAAAATAGTTTTTAAGAAGATGTTGTAAAAATGATTTGAGAGTTTGAGGTGATGAAAGAAGAGAAATGTTATATTTGTAAAGGAATTTATTAAAGCATGTCTCCTCAATATGGTGGATGAATTGGTGATTGAGAAGGAGAAAATGTTTTTTACAAAATTACTTACTATATACCCAGTTTTCATGGCTATGCAAGAAGCCAAAGTCTGCTCTGTATATTGAGTCTGACCATTGTTTATTGGCTCTTCCATATAAATAGGCTTTTCTGTTTGCCTACTTATATTATTCTTCTCTAAAAATGATCTACAAATTGTAGAGAACATTATTATTTCAGAAGTAGTAGCTGTTTATTTATTTTTATTGTTTATTATTATTTTTATTTATATTTATTTATTTATTTATTTGTTTATTTTTTTTATTATTTTTTTTTTAAGAGTTCAAAAAAATAAATCTTTATCTTTAATATTGAGATTATTAATGCTTTTTAGTAATAGTATTGACAGTAGATTCAAAATCTTGTATATTTAGACATTAGTAAAAATTTTGATTTTTATATTTATTTAGAAGCCTATATACAAATTCAACTAGATTATTATGATGCTGATATATGTTTTAATTTGCTATTAATTTCTAATAGTTTATACCTTTGTGAGAGTATTTTGAGATATTGAATTTGCAATGTCATAGATAATTTGTTAATTGAACTATAGTAAGGTATATGTATATTTTGATCTCTTCACATAATTCTTCTGATATTTCAGTACAAGGATCTAATATTTATGGAGAAATCTATAATAGATATTTATCTTGCAATGCCAAGAATGGTATCTACTCATATTGTAATTTTTTTTTATAATTGTAATATTTGTATCTTTTTCGATTTAAATTTGTATATAATCTATATAAAGCTTCTTTTAATTGGCAATATATATATGTGAATCTACAGACTGTATTGCTGTGTTTCTTTAATGAGTCTGCTTTGTAATAGTTAATAATAATATAAAAAGAAAAAAAATAGCATTTAAAAAAAATTTTCAAAAAAGAATAATGAAAAATAAAAAAATAAAAAAATCAAGAACTAAAAAGTTAATGCCCAAAAGTTTAAAAAATAATTAAAAAAACAAGATCAAAAAAGATAAAAAAAAACTAATTAACTGAGCTTACATTTATAAAAAATCATCTTTATCTTCGATTTCAGTAATAACAAGATTAGCAATTTCTTTTGCTATTATATTTTGTATATCTGAGTTTATTTTTACTAATAAATATATCTGGCATACTTTATTATCTGCACCATTAATGTTTACACTTTTTGTTAGCCTTTGGATTTCATTTGTAACAAAGTCAAAAACCTCAAGGTAATCAATTTCAATATTATCAATTTGTTTTATTTTCTGACTAGTTATTTCAAGACTCTTTTTTCTTTTTTAATCACAAGCCTTTTTACATTAAATACATATTTCATAGCAAGTAGTATTCTAAACAAAATTTTTATCAAAATGCTTAACTTTATACCCAATACATTCTTTTATTTTAGTATAAACTGGAAATTGTATTTGTCGAAGTTAAATATTGAACCTTATATAATGTAAACTTTGGTGTATATAATTCTTGAACTTTTTGATATATCACTCATAGTAAAATAACATCCAATATTTATATAAGCAACCAGGTATATCTTTTTATTATAATATTAATAATTAATAATAATTGTATGCTTTGTAGAGTAAAAAATATAATTTATAAATGTGTTATTATATACAAAAGAGTGATATATACATCTTTCAAATAATGAAGATATATTTAAAAAAAATTATTTATTTATTTGATTACTTTATTATTGTATTACTAATTTAATTTAAAATCATTGATATTACTAGAACTAGCAATAAAAATTTCTAATTATTAATTGTTAATATGAAATTGTTAATAAACTATTTTAGCAATTTAATTGTTAAAATGATTTATTAAGTTAACAATTTTATATTAACATTTAATGATTAGAAATTTCTATTACTAATAAAAAACAAA